TGTGCGGATGATATGCAGATTTACATGCCACTGATACAATCCGATTCGAATGCACTTCGCTACATAATATTTGGTCCATAACCGAGCTAGCGGTTTCTAAGTCAACTTTAAAAACTCACCTTTTTAAACAGGCCTTTGGTGTGTAATCTGTTTTATTTCCCCAGAAGGGACATCTTTTAACTTGTTGTTTTATGCTATTTGTATCTTGATGGAAGTTTTTATTGCTCCAGGTTTGGAGATTTGTGTTTTATTTGTGCTTAGGTTTTATTGTTCTAGTATTGTTTTTTAGTTGATACACATGTTCTATTGTGCAGCACTTTACAACTCTGGGGAGCACAAAGTGTTATATAAATAAAGGTTTTTTATTATTATTATTATATTTCTGTACCGGAAGCAAATTCCTTCTGTGTGTAACATGCATGACCAATAAAAGTGATTATTGTCATCATTATATTTAAGAAAATGTTGCACAGTGAAAACACTGCATCATTTATCACATCATCTTATGTAGTTAATTAGTATCATCATGTTTAGTATAATATTTGCTCAAAATTCCCTGCAACTACTCAGCAGTGCATATAAGCAGGTATGCGATAAATGACAGTTGATCCTGCTGCCAAGAGTTAGGATGTGTGCTGAGTTCTTATACTTCATATCAGTGTTTTCTTTACAAATACCTTTGTAAGGGTGAAACACTTCGGGAGTACAAAATATTATGTGGCTATGTTCTCCACTAGCTACTGCTGACCTCTGGTGGTCAAAATGACACACTGCAGCCAGAAGGCTAGAGACAAAGAGATGGCAGGACCACCTTCTGTCATTTATTAATAGCATTTTGTCATTTTCTCTTGCTTTATATAAAGTAAGGTGCAAACAACACATATTATTCATGCAAGAAAATATAAAGATGAAAACAACAATTGACAGAGTAAACTGTAAAATGTTGAAATTCTGTATTTAACATGCTGTAACCTGAACTTTCATGATACACTGCTTCATTAGAAAGTGGACCCTGACTAACGAAGTCTGTGTTATTTTGGACATATTCTCAGTGACCTGTGGAGACAGTCTGACTCAGGGTGCCTCATCTCTCCTGGACGTAGTGGATGAGGACTTTCTCTGAGCTTATGATGTGACTGGGTTTACTGAAGTCCAGTAGCTGCAGCCTCTGGATGCCTGCATGCACATACATACACACACACAAGGAGAGGTCCCATGTCAACATTAAGGCATAAACCTGATATTATTATATTATATCATGCACTCTTTAGAAACTCTAGGGTAAAGAAGTAGATAATGTCATGTTTATCACACAGTCAAATGTAAAGCCATGCATGGAGGGAGAGAGATGACATGCAACGAGGGCCCCTGGCAGGACTCAATCCAGGGATGTATGGTCAGTACTGTAAACTCTAGGTCAGTGTGTCCCCACATCAAATGGAGGTCCCCAGCTGTTCCTCTGAAAAAGATGTAAAAAGCCACTGCACACTAGCTGCTGCTGCTGGCAAGAGAACTGAACCTGACACATAATAAATGTGCAGTAAAATCAGATGACAAGCTAAAAGAGGCTGTAAAACCCAGTGAAGACACAGTACAATGGGTTTGTCACCACATGTATCACCAGTAATTTGGGGAAAAGCAGTTTTAAGGAAGCAAAGCCAGTAAGTCTGACATAAACAAATGAAGTGGTACTGTACCTCTGAGCACCGCATACCAGCCCTGCGGACCCTGCTTCAAAACACTGTTGTCATCCTCTGACACAAACCTCCTGCCATCTGAAGACAAGTGCAGGAGAAAACAGGGTTAACCTGATATGCTGCTGTACTGATATCGGACGTAGATGCATCATTCTGAAAAAGAATTCTATTAGCGTGGTCCAGTGCTAATACTTAAGGCTGGTCACCATCTCATCAGGTCATCATCTGCTACAAAAACTGCATGGACCTCTGCCAGGTCTTCAGTGTGGGTAGATTTTCTGCCGTTCCAGAAACTTTTGAACAGCTGCCACAATAGTCTGGTTATTCTGTGTAATTATTCTGAAAATTAGGTCCTCAGTGATGTGGCAGCCACAGTCTCTGTCTCACACAGTGCAAACGTGCAACACCGCTTCCCACTGACAGTGAAAGGGCAGGTGTCGCTGCTTCGGGGATTAGTCACTGTATGTGTGCAAGGCTGCTGCTAAATACAGAAACAGGTGTAATCTCTTCAAATGTTTGTTTGCAGAAATAGTTGTGGAAATTCACAGAACCTCTTGTGGTGTTTCTATTTTAATTTTAATGTATGTATTTACAAAATAGATCATGTCTATAAAATGATGAGTAAGACAAGTCATGGCCATAGAAAATACAGTCTTTTACTTTTGCATTTACTTAGTGAACTGACGATCAAACTTTCAGGGAGTTTTGAAACAATCCATTCATGATTTTCTGCTGCTTTGCCAGAGTAAGGACACAGGTTAAACAAACTAGTCCATACGTCTGTCTCCACAACATCGTCCTCCAGCTCCCCCTTGGGGACCTTCAGGCATCGCCAGACACAGGTAGGATATATGATCTCTCTCCTGATCAGATGCCCAAACCACCTCAAGTGGTTCTTTTTTTACCATGAAAGAGCAGTAACTCTACTCTGAGTACCCTCTAGTCTGAACCCTGTCTCTAAGGGTGAATCCAGCCACCCTACAGAGGAAACTAATTTCACCCACTTAAATTTGCAGAGCCATTCATTTGTAGGTGAAGGTTGGAATATAGACAGGTAAATTGAGAGTTCTGTCTTCCAACTCAGCCACCTCTTCACCACAATGATTTGGTACAATGTCTACATTACTGCTGATGTTGCACAATCTGCCTGTTACAATCATGCTCCATTTTACCTTCACTCATGAACAAGACCCTGAGATACTTAAACTGCTTCACTTGTGCCAGCAACTCACTCCCAACCCATAGGAAGCAGCCCATCGTTTTCCGGCAGAGACCCATGGTGCTGACCCCAGCTGCTTCACACTAAGCTACAAACTGCACCAGTACTTGCATGGTCTGCTTAGGCCAACAGAACCACATTATCCTCAAAGACCAGAAAAGCAATACTGAGGACCCCAAGAGTGGACTCTCTCTTTCCTTCAGCTGCAGAGATTCTTGAGATCCTCTTGACAAAACTCACCAACAGGATTTGTTGATATCAACAGATATCAACACTGAATGACTTCCTGCCAATAATACGAACAAAGCTCTCACAACAGTTATATATGGACCTGATAGCTCCTAACAATAGCCCCGCTACTGCACTGTCCAGCAGGCCCCCCCACAAAAGAGATATGAGTCAGGCTTTTCCTGAGTCTTCCAACTCTCCTCCCTCCACAGAGAACATGTTGGTTGGGTTCATGAGTTTGTGGAACTTTTTTTCCACTTCCCAAGAATA